CATGGAAACCCGACTAGAGACCCGTCTGAACTACCCGATGGCGAGGTTTCATTTTTTTTTTGTTATTTTCGTTTTTTCTGTTTTTAAATTTATTTTCTGTAATCTGTTTTAAGACTTTAAATTCTGTTTTTTTTTTTTTTAACTTTGATTTTATTTTCTGATTTTTTTTTAATTTTGTTTTTTTTTAATCTTGACTTTTTTTTAATTAATTTAATTTTTAGAAAGTGTAAACATATTTGTATAATATGTTTTCTTATTTTGCATATATGTTGAAATAAATGAGAATACCTTTATATGAAATTCGAGAACTTATATCTTTTCTAGAAATTTTTATAGGAGAAGATTTTTTTAAAATTTAATCAAAAATTTTTTATATAAAGAATTTTCATCAATTTGTAAATAAACAAAAAGAAGGATGTAAAGAAATTGTTTTTCTTTTATAAAAAATTTAATAAATTTAACGATGGAGTCTTTTCAAATGATCAACAAGTTTTTTTTGAATATTTTTGAAATGAAAAAATTTTCTTTAAAGATTTCTTTCTAATATTTACATATCAAAATTAAAATAAATTAAAAATAAAGACCGTTTTAATTAAGGCTTAGATAAAATAATTAATTTAATACTAATTTATGGGTGTTATGGAGTGTTATAATCTTTTTTACACACAATTCTAAAGATGTAGACAAAACTTTTACTTTTTAGAAACCTAGTCAAGCTTAGAACAATCTTAAAAATAATAAATTAAATTAAGTAATTAATCACATCTAAATAAAAAAGATTAATTGTTACTTCATATTTTTATATTTAATGATCAGATTTTTGGATTTAGACATTATGAAAATATTAAAATTATTTTCTCTGAAACTACTAATTTTATGTTATAATTTTTAATTTTTAGTTTTACATATTTTTTATGTTACAACTTAAGTGTCATGGAATAATCAACGAAATGTCTTGGTTTTGTTTTGGTGATTTAGCAGCCTAGATTTCTAATTTTGAGTATATTTGGATTAATAGGTTGCTAGTGGTTTTGAATGCTTTGAGTTCATCAAGTAATTTAATATCCCTTCACTTTTTCATACCCTATAAAATTAGTCTCAATATGTTTAGATTATATATATAGTATATAATGGTTTACCCATTTGGTTTGTAAATTGGGGTAAATAAGTAAATATATATATAATTTCTTTATTATAAATTTTAAATGTGATTTTGTTAGTGTTTTGATTTGTGAATATGATTTTGTCATAATATATTTTTATTTCTATCTATTTTATGAACACAAAATTTACTTTGGAATTATATGCAAAATTTGCTCTATACGAAATTAGTTTTAAGAAAATAAATAAACATTGCTTTTGAATATTTGAGGTAATCTAAAAAAGTATTTTGATTGTCTCCTAGTATGGTTGTGCTTTCGCCCAGCGATCGGAGGTTAAAAATTAATTGACTTAAAAAAAAAATTTTTGTATTGTGCCATCGATTTTAGAATAGTAGTTTTTTTCACCGATTTCAAAATATTGGTTTTTGGTCTGTTCATTGCAACTGTTGAGTTGCTTGAAATATACTTTGGAATCATTGCTACTAGGGTTAATTATGATTTTTGACCTATGCCTCAAAGATTAAGTGTTGTCATAATACGTTACAAAAGACTTATGAAATTTAAGATCTTGTGAAATTTTACTTGTTTTGCTATTTAAGAATATGGTTTTTGAATAAATATGATTAAAACAATAAGATTATCCATTTTTTAATTTTGAATCATAATTATTAATAATTTTAATTCAAATTTTTGTAACATGGTTAATTTTATTGAAGGGACATCAATTATTTATTGAGTTTTTATACTCATTCTTTTTAATTTCTTTATTTTTTTAGATTTTGGTGATTATATCTTCGGGACTTTGTTTTGAGGAGAGATTTGCTTGCAAGTTCTCATCTATCTTTTTATCTTTTTTATAGTTTGAATGTGAGTAATTTGATATCAATTTTATTTAATTTATTACTTAGCTAGGATATTTTTGTTTTTCAATCAAGGTGTAATAAGTAATTTCGGAAACTAAAGATTTTGTAATTGAAAATTTTGGGGACTTTTGAAGTTTTGATTTTTTTTTATTTATTTATTATGATATCGATTGCATAACATACTTATAAAACTCGTCTTATAAATATGGACGTTGTGTCTTAAACTCTTGAGTTTGTGGCATAATATTATATTAATTTATATATATATATATATTTACTTATTGATTTTGTTTTTGGACTATGCTTGGGATAGGGCAGTAAGGTAGCCTTAACATATTGTGGCATGTAATTAAAATTTCTTTTTTATAACGGTCATTATAAATTAACATGACAAAATAATAATTATATTTTTATTAGATTAATGAAATTATTATTAAATTATATTTTTATTATATATTACCATTAAATCATGAATATTTATAAGCTGACATGCTAACAAATTAATTTCATAAGTGCAAGCACATCAAACAATTTTCTTTTTTTTTTGTCCTCTTATCTTTTCTTTTTGGTCTGAGTTATCCTTTTATCTTTATATATATATATATATATATATATATATATATATATATATTAGAATTAAACTCATGCTTCATTGTAAAATTATTTTTTTATTTTTTAAAGTTATATTTTAAGAATGAGAGAAGTAAAATTTTTATATCAAATCTTAATGAATGATAATGTATAGACAAATATAAATGTATTTTTTAATATAAATTATAACTTAGTTATACTCCCTCTGTTTCGTATATTTGTTATGCATTGACTTTCACGAAGTTTAAAAAAAAAATTTAATTTTAATATATTTAATATTAAAAATTAAATTTTACTTTTAATATAAAAAAGTAAAAAAGTTATAAAAAATAAATTTAAAATATAAAAAAAGGAGTTTTAGACTTTAAGAAAATATTTTTTGTTTTTATTTTTTATTTTCATTTTCTAGAAAATAATTTTTATTTTATTTTTTTTTGTTTTCTAAAAATTATTTGATAAATGAAAATAAAAACTATTTTTTAAAAATGCAAAAATAAAAAAATAAATAAAATATTCAATGATATTATTATTAATAGCATCTAATTATAAATATAATATAGATATTAATTAATTAATAACATTAAAAAATGTTCCAATATGATAACTTATCAAAAATAAGGAAAAAAGTAACGTATATATTTTGTTTTCATAATTGTAAACATTTTTTTTTGTTTTTCATATTTCAATTTATTTTTATTTTTGTTTTCTAAAAATTTATTTTTATTTTCAATTATCAAATACATTTTCACTCATATTTTTTATTTTTCAAAAAAATAAAAATAGAAAATAACTCTATTTTTTAAAACCAAACACTACCTTAGATATTCAAAAAAAAAAAAAGAAGAAAGACATAATTTTGAAAAATAACAAAGAAAATGAAATAGAGAGAGTATATAAATATAATTTTTTGTTAAATTAAAATATTAAATAATATATTTATTAATATGATACATATATAAATATAAATTAAATATAACTTTATGTTTGATTATTACGAGTCAAAATTAATTAGATATAAATTATTTTATCATTTTTATTTTAATTAAATTTTTATAAAATTTATCTAATAAAAAATCAAATTAAAAAATCAAATAAAAAAAATTAAAAATTAAAACAATAAAATTAAAAAATACCACGTGAACACCTTACTTTTTTCTTTTTTTTTGATAAAATTAAGTATATAGATAATATATCGGTATGGTTTTGTTTTTTGGTTTATTACTCCATAAAAGGACGAAAATAAAAGGTTTTCCGGGAGGAACCGGTGGGGATAAAGCGCCAATGAAAGGAGCAAAAAAGCAAAAGAAAAGGTTGAACGTGTCATTATTAGGGGCAAAGATTCCCCAAGGCACGTTGGAAGTCGCAAACGCGTCCTATGTCCTTGTCATGTAGCTACTTTTGACAATCCTTCGCTACGCTATACTAACAAACCTTCTCTCCTTTCTTTTTCACTCTTTTTTCTTTTAACTCGTGTATTTTAAATAGGTCGAATATTATATTTATATTTATATTAAATATTTATCATTAATATTTTTGCACATAAAATTATATTTATTTCTTAATTTTGAAAATTAAAAATTAATCGGTAATATGTTATTAAGTACTAACCCTTGATGATAGAAAAAAATTTGTTATTTTTTCCAAATGAAACTTCGTTATTCCAGTAGTATTTGGTACAAGAGTTTTGATGACAAGTTAACCTTTATTCAAAGAAGTTTGTTGACTGTACCAAAAAAAATGTTTATTGACAACTTCAATGGCCGCAAAAGTTGTTATACGTCCCGTTAATGTTAGTTTTATTTCTAATTAATACGCGGACCAAAAAAAAATTAAAAATAAAAAATAAAAAATTAATTAAATAATTAAAATTAAAAATATAATGTCCTAGAAATTATTATTATTAATATTTTTATTTATTTACAAAAAGCTAAATAAATATAAATGAATAGAGTAAATATAAAATAATAACAAAACAATAAAATGAAACAAAAAATCATGTTTTTTCGTCTTTATTTGTTTGTTTTGTGCTAATTTTTACAGAATTTAAAAAAATTAATTTTAATATACTTAATATTAAAATTAAATTCTTTTATAAAATTAAAATTTTATAATTTTTAGTATTAAAAAATAAAAAAATCATAAAAAATAATTTTGAAATATAAAAAAATAAAAATTTTAGATATTTAAAATATGAAATAATTTTAGAACATTTAAAAAAATAAATTAAAAATGAAATAAAACGGTATTATAAATTAATATTTAACCATTGCATGTAATAATTACTACAATAATAATAAATAATTAAATACAATTACAAGGATTAGAGGTGGGGAGCATGGAAAAAGGAGTGAGGAGTCCGGCAAGGACCGCGTTCTCATCCATAGTCTTTCATTATATATACAATAAAAATTATAAAAAAAAAATGAAGAAAAAGTATCGCATCTAACAGTCGTAAAAAATCGGCGATCCCACTCGTCTGAGGGAAAATCGCCAGGCGAGCGAAATGTGCAATCCCACACACTCTATCTGTCTGTAACCATCATTGCTGGTCCTTCCTCCATCTTTCTGTTTTTGAGCTTTTTGGAGAAAGATTCTAATCTCCCTGCTGAGCTCCAAAGCTTCCGATTCTTTTTAAGATTTTACCCGTCACCGTCGCCTTCCTGCCACTCTGGAAACTTTGCCTTCCTCATTCCTTTCTCTTTTCCAGGTAAAATAAAAAAAAAATTCAAAAATTTTTTTTTTGGATTCTTCCTCTCCATTCTCCAGAACAAAGAAAATCCAATAATTTTAATAATGTGGAAAAATGTTATTGGCTTGCAGAGTTGCCAAGGGACAAATGTTATAACAGTGAAAAGGACAAAGAAAGAGAGAGAGAGATCTGATTGTGGTTTAAAGAGATGTACAGAACTCCGTTGCCTGCCCAGCTCTCTGATTCCAACCGCTGTGCCGTCGACATCAATGTCACCAACCTTCGAGCCTATCAAGTTTGGAAAGGAAACAATGTAATTTACCTGTATCTACGATTTCCCATTTTTTCTCCTTTCCTTGTTCTTGCACTTAACAATTAATAATCTGTCTCCAAATAGCTAACTTCAAGTTTAATTAATTTATTCAGAGATTTTGCCTTGGAGGTAGACTTATATTTGGTCCAGATGTCAGGTCAATCTTCCTCACAATATCTCTAATTGTGATCCCAGTTATTTTATTTTGCGCTTTTGTTTCTCAAAGACTCGTTCACGTATTCGACCACCATCTTGGCAATCTCATTGTAGCTATTTTAATTCTCTTAACTGTATATGTAAGTTCTCTTCTTCCATAAATTCAAAACCAATAAAATGTCTTTGTTTCTGGGATTATTCAGTTATTAACATTGTTTTGCCTGTCAAACTAGCTCAGGATCTTATTCTTCTGCTTCTCACTTCTGGAAGAGATCCTGGCATGATTCCTCGAAACCCGCATCCTCCAGAACTAGAGGAAGATGGTTCCACTATGTCTGCGGATTGGCCAGGGTGTCAGAGCCGTGTTGGTGTTCCAAGTATACCACCTACAAAAGATATTGTCGTTAATGGGGTGATTATCAAGGTTAAATACTGCCAAACGTGCATGTTATACCGCCCACCACGTTGCTCACATTGCTCTATATGCAATAACTGTGTGGAGCGTTTCGATCACCATTGTCCATGGGTGGGGCAATGCATTGGGAAGGTACATGCTTCTATATTTAGTTTCTCACCTGATAAAAATTTGGGTTAATTTAATCCTTGTTGAAGTTTCCCTACCAATGGGAAATGATTACAAGGTGCTTGGGAAATGAGTGCTGGTTATATTTCTTCTGGCATATAAGCAATTGCTTTCATCTTCAAAAACTTGCATTTATGGAAATAATGGCGGAAGGCATGATAAAAGAGATGAACTTTTATGTAAAACAATTTACAAGTAACTAACTTCTGACAGGATGTATCTATCTTCTTCAAATTCTTCATGTGAGTCAACTGATGTCTTGCTTAGTACTGAAGTAGTAAAAGTTTTCATTCCAAGTCGCTATTCTCACATATCTTAGCAAAGTAACCAAGTAATTGGATTCATTGTCTCAGAGTTTCACTTACTGATGGGATGATGCTATTTGTCATTCACAAAATCACACATATTGTCAGTCTTTGGTCGGTAGGAACTTTTGCCTTTGTGGTTAACTATGCTGCTCATGGAACTTTCCTATTGTAAACTTCCAGTTCAAGTTTATAAGAATAAGTTTAAGAGGAAGGATTTAAGATAGGTTTCTCCATTTATTATTTATTTATTTTGTAAAGAGAAGAGCATGAGTCTTCAAATGGATGCTATAGATTTAATTGTTGAAATATCTACAATACAGTTGTGCTTGTGAAATGAGCTTTTGGTCCTTTAAATTGAAAACATTGCCTTGCAGCTTGCGTAGACAATGAATGTCCAATACACTGATTCTTCCCTGTGTCATCTGAAATTTTTACTTGAACTATGACTTAGATGTGATTGTTAGGTGATTTCTTGTGTGCATTGCTGGCTTTCATTGCAGGACACTTTATTATCCTCAAGGCTAATGTGTAAAATTTTTTCTTGACAGAGAAATTATAGATTCTTCTTCATGTTCGTGTCTTCCACAACCATACTATGCCTGTACGTTTTTGCCTTCTGCTGGGTAAACATTAAGAAAATAATGGATCAATATCACTGTAATCTCTGGATAGCATTCTTGAAGTCCCCTGTTTCAGGGCTTCTTATACTATATACATTTCTAACTGCTTGGTTTGTTGGAGGCCTCACTGTGTTTCATCTCTATTTGATTTTTACCAACCAGGTTCTGATCTCTTCTTTACCTTCATTTCTTCCATTATAGTCTGTCCTCTCTCTCTGCCTTGCTAATTTTTTGTTTTTGCAGACAACGTATGAGAATTTTCGGTATCGTTATGATTCAAAAATGAATCCTTATAATCGTGGTTGTGTTCGCAACATTTTTGAGATTTTTTTCTCCAAAATTCCCAAGTCTAAAAATAACTTCAGGGCAAAGATCAAGTTAGACACATCTTTCTTTGCTGCCTCAATGTCCTTGGCTCGAACCATGAGCCCAGAGATGCCAAAAGCAAGCTTTGACATAGAGATGGGAAAGCGGCAAGCTGTTGCTGCTGAGGACTTTGAAGAAATACACAGCCAGATTGAGAATGTTGGTGGATTGGAGAGGTGTGGAACACAACCAAGGCACACAAACCAGGGTGACAAAATCAACTGGGAGATCTCACCTGATATACACATGTTGGCTAATGAGTTTGGAATGGAAGACAGTTTCAAGGCTAGAGAGAAAGTTCGCAGGGGCCAATGAAGCTGGTTTCACCTAAATTATAGTCAGAAAGCATAGTAATTATCTCCTAGCCTACTTGAAATTTGCCAACCCAGCTGATCGAAATTGGCAACTGAATAATGTCGCCAAGATATTAATCCATCAGAATGTTGTTTTTACGCTTTATTTGTCTCTGATAGGGAGGAAGATTCTCGTCTGGCTAAGGTGTGCAGGGTTAATGTTGTATATCATACTGCTTTGATAGATGCTTGGGGTAAGTTTTGTGTTATAATAATGTGTTCGTTTGTGAGGATCTGGGTGGGTGTTTATAATTGATTGGATTTGTGAAGGTTAAATTAAATCATCAATGGTAGAAAGGTTTCTTTAAATGTAGATAGAGCTCGGGTCTGTTTCCCTACTTTTCTTGTACCTTTTAGGCCTGAACCCACCCTTGCAGAAACTTGCTTAAACTCTCATGGTGGTGGTATCAGTAATTGTTTCCAGAGTTTCCTGAAAACGAGTTTTTAGTAAAAGATTTCTTTCTGGATTGAAATGGTCATTGATCATGGCAAGGGTGTGACTGACTTCAACATAAGTCTTCGTGGTCCATTCTTCTCTTGTTGGTTGTTTATCTGCGAGAAGAACTTTGCAAAGGGTGGAGGTGTGGTGATTTTTACTTTTGATACAGTTCCCCTATGTATTTATATAAGGTGGAGCCTTGGTCTTGGAGGGCATAATCTTTCTTTTCTATGAACTGCAGAAACACATGTTTCAAAATGAGGAATTTGGAAGTGCTGTCGATCAGAATGCGAATATGAATTATTATTATTATTATTGACTAAATTGGTAGCAACCATAGATTACATCATTTCACTTGACTGCTAAATCTGATTAGCATGGTTATTTCTTTCCGATTATATTAACCAACATTGAAATGAGAACAGTTTGCTCTTTCTGGAAAAAGCAGTCTCAATGTTACAACATCAGTAATAACTCAAAACTGGAATTAGTTCAGTAGTTCACCAGTTTGAACGCAAATTGTTCAAGCTTAGCTGCCCATTGGAGTCCCCAAGTTCATTATGTTTCCGTCATTGCTTCTTTTCTTGCCGACACCCTGATGCCCTGCCCCTTCCACACCTAAGAAATCAACCGTCAATTTTTTACCTCGCATGTACGCTTCTCCCAACAGATTTCCAGCATTCCCATTCTCTGATTGCAGAAAATGAGTATCGGATAACGCAGTTGGAGCAAGAGTATGGTGAGATAATAGATCCCCTGTCTCCAAATTTTTGTCATATATTTCTTCTCCCAGGTACAAGATAATGGTGCTTGCAGCATTCGTTCCTATGTTACTACCAACCATAGGAGAACCTTCCTCGACAGACCCAGATGAGTTCATGATGCTGTTAGAATATCTGGTAAAACCTCGTAGTAGTATTGGGAAAATTGTATTAGCACTGATCTTAGCACCCATTTCTGCAGCTTTTTGTAACAAGGCTGTGGCAGATGTATAAGCAGACCCAATTGCAAGAGTAGATGCCAGTGATGTTCTCGGATTGAAAATTTGATCTAAATTGCTGGACATCATGACTCCAGCCAAGTTCAAAAATGAAGGCCTCAATGACCTGTTCATGTTCTCATTAGAAATCGACAGATTCATCATTGTGTTCGCGTTGGAGCATGGATCAGAATCGGGCATTGATGAAGTGAACAGCTCATGTGGCGGCCTTTGCAAAATTCCTCCTGTGGTGGTAAGGTTACGGTTCAACTTGTAATTTTCCTCGTCAATGGATCACAGAAGGCTCTGTGTGTGACGAAGCTATCCTTCCTGTACAAGGCAAATGGATTTTAAAAAAATTATATCACCCTTCACATGATCCACACACGCAGAATAAGATGTTACATAACTCTTATAATATGTATGGACTGTTACAATGGAATTACTATAAAGCTCTACCTCAAAAAAATTGTGCCACAATCACAACGATATTCTCGGGTGCCACAGATCTTTTTATGTGCCTTCCAATCTGATTGAACAGCATATCGTTTGGAGCACTTATCACACTTCCATTTCTTTTCTCCATGCTTCCTGCAAAAGTGCTTCTTAATGCCAGTCAAGTCACCTAGAGCCCGGCTTGGATCATGATGCACACAATTTGGTTCAGGACATACACAAACCCTTTTCTTAATCTGTGTATTTGTTCTTTGCTTCAACTTCCAAGGCAAGTTATGTCCTCTCCGATGGAGCTGAAGGCTCTGATCTCTTTGAAATCCTTTATGACAGACTTCACATATGTACCTGTTGGTTGCCATTAGAGTCCTTGGAGATAATGCTACAACCTCCGCATCTGGATCTGAAAAATTGCCGAAAGAGAAAAGTTGGTGATTTGACAATTTACCTACATTTTTGAGATCAATATTTCTGGAAGAATCTGAATCAATATTCATGAATCTTATTTAAACACAAATTATTGTCATAATATTTTGCATCTATATATAGGGATTAGACAAATATGAGAAAAGGATGCCTGAGAGTCCTTCAAGATTCCACAAACAAAATGTCAAGTAAGAATACACATCCAATTAGACGGAAAAGAAGTGGTCTTGACTCTTGATTGGCATTCATTGAGAGAATTCTGTTTTATGCAAAAAAAGGGACTAGAGAGGATCATATCAGGTATTAGAAAATACTGACATATATGAAAAGGATAAACAACATTGCCAACACTTACCTCGTGCAGTTATGCTCTGTGGCTATTGTTTCACGAAAAAAATTATCCAAAAAGTAATGCAACTATTTGTTTGAACAAGAGATAAGACAGTGTGCTTGCCTGGATTCCCTGCAAGATTTTTTTTCTTCTTTGAACTTGTGGTGGTAGGAGTTGAACCATCAGCACTATGTTCTACAGGATTGGAACTCTCATCAGACGACTGTGTGATGACAATGCTTGGAAACTGGTCATCTTCTTCAAAATCCTGAACAAAGTTTGACATGTTTAGCAGGCCTTGATACTGATCAATGCTAAGAGGCAGTTGATAGTGTATGCTCAGATAAGGTGATAGACTTGGCTAGAAGACAAAAAGAAGAAGAAATTCCATACCAACCACAATCAAAGACCATGGTCCATGCATTGAAAATTAAAGTGGAAATAGAATTATTCTTTGATAGCAACATCTTTTTATCAAATAATATTTGTTAAGATCATCTATCAATAAAATAGACATTATAAGTTGGTTCTGTTCGATCTGTATGTGACGAAGTAAGTGAATTTTTTGCTAACGCCCAATGGTTTCTTTAGATTACTCAAGCATTAATAGCTACTCTCAGCATTTTAAACACTTTCACTTTCGGGTATCTCTTGAAGTCAAAAGATCGAAATCAAAGTACTGTGAGCTATTGGAATTGCAATTTTAGAGTTGTTATATCTTCAAAACCTGTTCCACGTTTATGTTTTTTCTGTAAGAAGTAGTTGAAACTGGTAATTAATGTGACCAAAAGAGTTAAGACAAATTGAAAAGGACGATGGAGCGGCTGCCAAAGAGAGATCCGTACAAAAGGACAATTTTGCCTTCTGTTTAAATTAATTAAGATGTTATATATGCCTTACCTGCTTCCATGATCCACCTGGGATACCCATCACCGGTTGACATATTTGTGCTCGTCATTCCTGATTGTTGCTTTGCTTTAATATTTGAATGAGGTTAACTGATTTTTCAGTGTTTTGCCCCCAAAAGTAACTTGTTAATTGTTTTCTGATATCTTTATCCAAATTCCAGTAGCAGTTCTTTGTGCTGTTTTATGTCTGGAAAGAGGAAATCATTTCATAAAATGTAACATCACATATTGTTCAAACTGTATAATATATTATCCAATATGATTTCTAAAGTGCATTTTACAAAATACAAAGGTTTAAAAATAGTTTATTTGTGTTCAAGAAACGATATTTGAAAGTTCATAAATAGCATTTGTAAAGAAAAATAAACAAAGGGATTCGAATGCCATTTGAAGGGAATTTGAATGATCAAGTTTAAAAGCAATATTTCTGAAATTTGCCAAAGGCATTAGAATAACTTAAGGCGAGCATTCGAATTCTCTGCTTGATTTCACATTCTATGTAAAAGTTTGCATGTGGCATCCGAATGACATGGCACAGGCATTCGAATTCCCTTGCTGAAAATTAAAAAAAATTATGTTCCTAAGAATAATGCTTCATTTCAAAAGTAGTGATTCTTTACCTAAGGTATGTTTATTCACAAAGAGGTAATTTTAGCACCGATTGAAGCTTATAATTAAAATTTTTTATTAATGTTAATTTTAATACACCACTACATTTAATCTTTCAAAAATCATTTTATTCTCGCTTCCTCTCATTTTGTAGTGCGATCTTTTTTCTTTTTTTTTTTTTTAATTTAAGTATTGTATCGTGTGGATAACGTTTACAAGAATCAATTTACACCTAAGCGAAAAAACTATTATCCTTAAGAAAATTTCATATAAATGCCTTATCTAAGTTTCTTTTCTTCAAATTAGAATGCATTAGTCAATCCCAAAAAGTAACAATTTAAGGAAATATACAAAGGATGTGGTATTTTCTCCAACGGGGCTTATTCAATCAAACCTCATGTTTATGGATTGAAGAAATTTTTAGAAAAAGTAAGAAAGGATACAATTGATGTTGAACCAAAATTTTAAAAAAGTTATTCTTTAAAAATCTGTATTAGTAAATTATGGAAGATTATATTTGGTTGTCATCAATTATTGTTCTTGGTTCTATTTTGAAACAAGATTATTCAAATTTGTTCTTCTAAAATTTGAATTGCAACAAAAGTATGTTCAAAGAACAAAAAAGTAAAGTGGGAAGTCTTATGAAGAGTAAGATACACGTACGATGTATCAAGCTATGAATTAACTTATTGCACTACTTTATGTGATAGTGGTAAGATATGTTTATATCTATTTGATTGAATGCTTATTTCATTATTAGTGATTTGAATATTTATTTTCAAATAATTTTGATTGAAGTTTATTCTTGGAGTGGATAGATTTATTTTTATTAGAATGTCATATAAAGTGTAAATAACAATATAAGAGGGTGAATTGCATTATCTCCAAATTTTTTTTTCAAAAATAAATTTTAAATAAAAGTAAAATGGGAAATTAAAAATATATGAAATATATGAAATTAAAACATAAATAAACAAAAATGAAAATAAATAGTAAGTATATAAGAATCAAACACAAAAATTTATAAAGGTTTGGTCATTCTTTAAAGGCACCTACGTCCTCTTCTTTAACTTTTTGACCCAACCTTTAAATCCACTAGTGAAATGTTATTTTTATAAGATATATAATTTGTATACTTTTAAGGCTCAAGATAGCAAGTTTTTCCCTTTGTGGGATTCTATCCAATCCCACTACAAAACTCTCAAAAGGATACCACACCTTTTGCTTTCTAATCCTCTTAAAATACAAAGGATTTTGCAAACTAGAAAACCTCTAATAGATGGGTGTTTGCTAAATTTAGGAACAAAGATGAAGAGATTATATAATAATAATAATAATTTTGGTTTTAGTAATACATGGTTTGGAATTTTGCTTTTTGAATTCTTTAGAAATGGTAAATCTTGACTTGATATGCTTTGAATGCAATCTCTTATGCTTTAGATGTAATCTCTTACTCCTAAATATGTTGGAGGGCTCTTTTTATGTGGGTTTTTGATTTCTAGTTATTGTGAGTTATTGGATTTGAGAAACAGCCGTTATTTCCTTAAAAATTTGTCTTTATTTGAACTTCCTACAAAAAGAAAATCAATCTTTATGCTTCTAGATTAAAAAATATAATCGTTAAAAATGAGGGGATTGATCCTCTAGCTTAAAAAAATAGGGGAGGAGCATTCTCACTTTAAGGGATCAATTCTCATATCGAAAAAACAATGGAAGAGCATACTAGAAATTGGTGATTGATCCCTTTTTTCAAGTTTGCATATTTTCACATTTTTGACCAAGGAAGTTGATTTTTTTCAAACATATTTTTACTAATGATATTCATTTTAGAGCATGAATTGCTG